TTTTGAAAAACCGAGGTCCAAAAACGAAGTGTTCCCAAAAGTAAAAACCAAGTTTGAAAAACATTGTATATGGTATAAAATAGTGAAAACAAGACTTGTTTGGTAAAAACCAAGTCCTCAAGGTCGTAAATCACGTGTGTACGGTTTTGACCGTTTTTCACGTGTTAGACCGATTGACCAAGATACAAAGATGGTTTTTACAAAATAATTATTCGGGAACCTTTAAAATATGCTCAGAGATAAAAACAGGGTTTAAAATATTGAAAACCACGGAGTTGGTTCGGGCGCCAAAAAACCGAACGCCGAAAACCAAACGACGAAAGCCGAACGCCGACTTAGGTGGTTTTGGTTCTGAGCAAGGACCAGGGATTTTAACAATAAGGAGATTTATCTAAAATGTTTATTTTGATGCATAAAAACATTTTATGATTTTGTAAAATAATTTTGACTCTTTGAGAACCGAGACTTGAATTGATTATCGGTTTTGATCACAAAAGACCGACTCGACTAAGTCTTCAATTCTTGATCTGTCCTTGAGTCTTTTAGGTCTTGTTCCAAGCCATTCTTCACGCCTTGAGTTATTCAACGAAACTCTTCATATCCACGGCGGTTTGGCAATTATCAAAACCTGTCAGAAATGAACACGACTTTAGTTTAACGTGCAAAGTGTGTTCCAACACCTATCATCTCTGTGTAAATACAAATAGAAAAATATTTAAAAAAATGATCAATACAATTTATCATATATTATACTCTATTCGTCTCGGAGGATTTGTCTAATTTTAACTTTTTGCAGTCATTCAATATCGATCATTGAGTTATAATTAAATAAAATTTAAATGTTATGTTAATAAGATAAAATGAAATTTTAAAAATATTATACAAGATAAATCTAATAAAATTATTCTTTGTATCAATATTGAATATAAATTTTACGTAATTAATGATCAAAATTTTTAAATTTTGAATATAAAAAGTAAAAGTAAACAAATTAAACATTCTCAAAACGGAGGTAGTACTATTAGCACCTACTTCGAATGGAGCTCTGATTTCAAGTCAACATTTTGAATCTTTGTTTGTCTTTGGTTTGAAATCAGGATTGTAGTTTTTATTTCAAAGATCATTAGCTTTTGAGTTGCTATTTTGAGATAAAATGTACTCTGTAGCATGCAAATTGAAATGCCGTTCATCACATCCGGTTGAATATTATTTTAGGGCTTGTTTGTGATTAAATGTTTAGAATTTTTTAAGTTTTATTGACTCGATTATAATGATATATATATATATATATATATATATATATATATATATATATATATATATATATATATATATATATATATATATATATATATATATATATATATATATATATATATATATATATATAGTATTTATACTTCTCTCCACATAATGATACACAATAACTCAATGTTTCCGCTTCTACTGAAATTCTCCAGAAATGTTGAGGAATGAACTTTAATGGTATGGATGTAAAATTAAAATATTGTAATTAGACAATTTTCCAAAATGTTGATTTTAAACTTTAAAATTATTGTCAAACATAAATGCTTGCCTATTTTTCTTAGTATCACGTGTATTCTTTTGAACTTTCTTTCTACTTCTTGTAAAAAATACTCCCTTCGTCCTAAATCGACCTTCCCACGTTGACTATATGCCATTTTTAAGGAAGTGTAAAATATGCATTGACTTTACCAAAGTGCCCCTAAAGTCCCCCACTTCACCCAACAATGCACAGATCTAAAAACACTCGTACCCATGGAGAAGCTCGCGCAGACCTCAAATCTCATAGCCGAAATCAGAGATACGGCGTTGGTGTCACCGGTCCGATCGGCAGATTCAGCCGGAGAGGTGCCGCTGATGCCGCCGTGCGACTCGAACAGGTGTGGGAGTTGCTGGAAGAAGATGGGGCTGGTGGCGTTCAATTGCAAGTGCGGGTTCACCTTCTGTGTGGCCCACCACTACCCTGAGACACACAATTGCAGTTTTGATTTCAAGGCCGCGGGTCGGGTCACCCTGAGGGCTGAGACGCTACCCTGAGACACCGGCAATTTCCTTAAATGAATTTAGAGAGGCGGAGGAGAGGCAGAGAGAGGGGATAGATAGATCTAGGGTTTGGGAGGAGGCGAAGAGCGAAGAAGGAGAGAAGCAACGAATAGAGAAGGGTCGTTGTGGCGTAAAGGAGAGGGGGTATATTTGTCTTTACACTGCCCTTTTTTGGATTTGGGAAGATATTTTTATGACGGGAAAAAAAAGGAAGTAGGAAGATGGTTTTATGATGGAGGGAGTACATCACAGACAATGTCATAGCATATAAATGTATTTTTTATGTGAAATTTGCACTAAATAGTACTAAAACATATATCACTTTCCAATATAGTACTTAAACTTTTTTAACCCCTAAATCGTATTTGAATAATGTCAAGTGGTGGTATAATGTCCAGTGATGGTGGACATTTAGTTTGAACAAAGTCTAGTGGCGATGAACATTTTCTTAAACAATGACCAGTGGGCATTGAATAGTGGTACTACATTGGAAAAAAAAACATATGATATTACATAAGGAATGTCATGTGTTTTAGTACTATTTAAGTACATATCCTTTTTTTATAACACGTGACTCAAATTCATGCAACCACATGAATGTATACCACACTTGGTTGTACGTCGAGTTAGATACACCTGATAAATATTTATTTTGAACCAATATTCTCTTAATTTAAATTAATAGAATGCTCATTTTCAACCATAATGTGTATTCTAAAGCCTGTTCGATTAACATAATGTCTATTATGAAATAACGCAGTTTTCATTCCAGAATTACAATAATACTCCAAAAATTCTCAGTTTTTACAAAAATACTCCGAAAATTAATTAACTACACCATTACTCCCACGATTACTTTATTTTTACAAAAACACTCAGCTTGCCACCTCACATTCACAAACATATTGTGTAATATCTACATTACTTTTAAAGTGATGACTTGGAAAATATATCTTTTTTTACAAACAAAATAAATTGCTAATTCTTCTTCCAACTCAAATATCATCCTCCTACTTTAAGGATTTGTTCTTTTGGTTGGAAAAGTTAACTTTCAATTTTTTCTAACTCTTTCTAATTTTTTCCCAACTCCTTACACTTCATCCAATATTCAACATTAGAATTTCAACTAAAAATAGCATATCCTAATTGTGAGAGACCTGATTAATATTTGAGTTGGATGAGAAATAAGTAAATTATTTTTATTAAAATTAAAAAAGGTAAATTTTTAGATAATGATTTTAAAAATCCATTTAGATATTACACAATTTTATTGTGCAAGTAAGGTCGTGGGAAGTATTTTTGTAAATAGAGAACAATTTTGAGAATAATGATGTAATTAATTGATTCTCAAAATATTTTTTTTTAAAATCGTAAATTTGTTGGAGTATTTTTGTAAATTTTTCTTTTTTTAGTTACAAATTTATTATGATATACTCCTCACTCTTTTTCTTTCCTCCCTCAATTTTCTATTACAACCAAACATGAGAAAATGCATAGTAAATTGTGTAATAGTAAATTTTCTCTCCATCCAAACGGGCTGTTAGAGAGCAAAAATTAATGTTTTTTGTCACGCATTTTGCAAAAGCATCACCCAAAAATTTTGTCTAAAAAAGTCATGAGACAGTACGGAAACAAAAGTCAGAAAAGCAAAGCAGTTAATGGGTTTTAAAGCATTCAGGCCCTCTCGTTTGATGCCACGTACACAGTTACCATATAAGAGCACTCGAATTCTGAAAATATCGGGGCTTCAA